CCCAGGGATCTGCCAGTGAGATCTTCATAGCACCTAAGTTACAATTAGAGGTCATGGATTATCATAGTTACCTGGAGGCCTTTGGCTGTGTGACTTCATCTTTCCAATCATCGGCATTTTCTGTAAAAAAAAAAAGTTAGAAGGGAGTAATCACATAATAGGACCTTGAATATGCCATTTAATTGCGAGAAAACCCAATAGTTGAGCTGGGGACATATCTCTGTGTTCTAAAAGCCTGCCCAGCGAGGGCAATGGCCCAGGTTCTATCCCTGGTATCGCGTGCTGAGCTGTCTACCGGAACAGAGTGTGCGGGTGCAGACCTGGCCGGGAGCTGGGGGGACAGTAAGCCAGGAGGTACACTACCATTCCAAGCTGTGTAGAGAGACCCTGTACCATACAAATAAATAAAAGATTTAAAAAATTAAAAGGAAAATTTTAAAAAAGAACAATTGTTGGTATACACGCAGCTCTCTTTCGCAGGGGCACTTACGGGCTGCATCCTGAGATGATGAGACTTCACGTGCATCTGAAAGCACAGACCTGGATCAGCAAGCCTCCTGGTTGCTGGGTAAGTCAGACTTATGGCCGCATGTCTTCAGGCCTTCACCCAAGCAATCCAGCAAAGTAATTGCTGTTACTTTGTCCTTGTCCATTCCATCCTTGCTCAGCCTGATGAGATAAAGAGTAGCATTAAAGACTGAATAAAAGACTCCTTGGTGGTTCTGACAGGGGCATAAATGAGTCACACAATAGCAGGAGCACGACATTCAGTGAAAGGACATTTATCCTCCTACGAGGAGAACAGAGAGCACCTGCCTTGAGACAGGAAAACACGCAGAGGAGGTCAGTATACTGACTAGAAAGTGAAGTGATGGGTAAGGACTCCTAAGGCTCCCTGTATCGCAAAACCATGACACAAAAGGATACAAAACCAGTAACATCACATTTTCTCTAAATTGTGTTCTGTTTTTGTATAGCGGAACACTCAGTGATCTTAGGATACTGCAGAATCAACGATATCTTGTGTATTCTAAACTATATATTAAATTTTCTTATCAGTTCTATATAGGTATACAGATGTGTATCTGAAGGAAAAGAGTTCGATGCCCAGG